ACCACGACCCCTTCTAAACCCAGCCTGGACTTCTGGCAATTCTCTGCTGATGTGCTGTTCCAGTCATTTTTGGATAATCTTCAGTAGAATCTTGCTTGTATGACAAATTGCTTTGGGTAAATCTGTTGTAAGGGACCTCTCTATAGAGCTAAGAGCAAGGACATCATTTTAAAGTGTTCCTTTCTCTAAGATGTGCCTGATTCAAGCCATAATGTTTTCAATTGCTTCATCATTGTTGTTATTTGCCATCGAGTCTCCTGTGACCCAGAGCGACCCTATGTACAACAGCTCTGAAGCCTGACCTGTCCTGAGTCAGTTTCACTAACTCTACCAAACCTACCCCCTTTATCCCAGTTACTATATCAATCCAATCCATCTTATCCAGGGTCTTCCTCTCCTGCACTCTCCCTCCAGTTTTCCAAGCATGTGCAGGCTGAAAAAATGGGGGTAAGGGGTGGGGGGGAGAGAACTGATGCTTTTGAATTTTGATATGGGAGAAGAATGGATTTCCAGAAGAAGTAACAAATCTATCTTGGAGAAAGGGATGGTAGAGTGCCCCTTAGAAGCAAGGATGGTAAGACTTCTTCACACATAACTTTGGACATATTTTCAAAAAGGGCAGGTCTCTGGAAAAGGACATCATGCTTGGAAAAATAGAAGGTCAGTGAGGATAGAAAGTCCCTTACAACAAAATGGATTGACATAGACTGTAAAAATGTAACTTCTAACACATTAGAAGTCATAGGATGGCACAGGATTAAGCAAGGACTTTTTTTTTCTCTTCCATGTAGTACACTCTAAATCAGACTGGCTTGATGTCATCTAACTACAATCTATGAAAATATAATAAAGTGGCTGATTTTTAAGTGAATAAAGAAAAAAATCATGTTGTTGTTGTTATTATTATATTAATTATTACCATTATTTTCACTCCATTCTGTTTTGACTCAAATTGATCTGTAGGACCACAACAGAATGAAACCTTGGCCAGACCTATGCTAATCTCATTCCTTGCTTGAACTTACTGTCATAGTCACTCTCACATACTTTGGGTAAATTATCAGGAGCGACGAGTCCATGGGGAAAAAAACATGATGAGTTATAAAGTAGAAGGTCAGGCAGAAAGAGTAAGTCTCCCAGTGAGATGGACTGACACAGTCGCTGTATTCAAGGACAAGGTGTGTTGTCTCTTCATACATCCATTTTCATCTTTGCTTTCTTCTCTACATTGTTAATGACCTGTTACTTTCATCTTATATGATGTCCTTCATGTCATCCCCAGCTCACCTAACCTTCAGTCACTAATGCCTCAAATATTTAGAAAAATATTCCAAGAACTTTGAAGCCAAATTGTTAATAGGTTGCATTTTCAAAAATATGACTAACAATGTATTAGAATTTTGTAAATAAACTAGTATAATAAAAAATTAAAAAATTATTAACTTTAGAAGTTTTCTTTTATAAATTAAGTCATATCAGTAATAATTTTTAAAAAAAACATGTTAAAGAACTAAGTAATAATTGACACTCCATTGGCTTTCTGAGGCTGTAAACCACATGGAAGGAAGGTTATCTGTCTTTTTCTCTCAGAGCCACTAGTCGATTCAAACTGCCAGAGAGATGAGACTTTTATGTTAGTGGCTTAACTCCTTACTATGACATCTGAGCTTAGTTTTAAATATTTGATATACATATCAATGTATATCAATTTTTCTGGTAATGACAGGAACTGATGTTAGACATATTTTATACAGGAGTCTAGGCTAGGTGAGAACTTAGGTAAGTATCTGTGCAAACTATGACAAAGTCATATCTGCTTCAACTCTTATGAAACATTGTGTCTCATATACCAGTAAGAAGCATTATCTTTTTCACAAAATCATTTTTGAACGATTACTTTCAAGTAACCTTAATCTATTGTGATGATCCTTCTTCTCACCTCAAAGTGGAACTCACACAGTGGGGCACGTACATGAGAAACATTCAAAGAAAATAGTAGGAAATTGAAGCAAGTTTCTCTAAATGTATCTTCATGTACCTGACACAGAAATAAATTATGATCTGTCTCCTCCAAATTATTAAAAGCATGATAACAGATGTTCACATGAGCCCTTGTGGTGTAGACACATTACATAGTCAAACTGCTGAAAGACCAGAAGTCCAAATCCACTAGCAATTCCACAGGAGATAACTAGACAGCCTCCTATGGAAAGATTTACAGCCTTGGGAATCTTAGAAAGGGGCTCAATGGGTTGAAATCTGATTGACAATAGTAGATTTTGGATTTAACTGACTCCCTAAGACAGGTTTACTGAACTTGACCACTATGAACCATATTCTTATTTGCCTTCATTGTTCTGTGTTCACTGTTCTATGTTTGATATGTGTTTTTTCCCAGAATCATATTTATTCTTCTCAGTTGTACTAATCATGGTTGCTGTTATGTGCTGTCAAGTTGCTTGCAACTCAGAAACCCTATATACAACAGCTCTGAACCCTGTTCTATCCTGAGCAAACCTTATTTTCTCTGACACACCTAAACCCTTTACCCCAGTCACTGAATCAATCCACCTCTTAGAGGGTCTTCCTCTCTTGCACTGTCCCTCTAACTTCCCAAGCATGATGTTCCTCTCCAAGGACTGGTCTCTCCTTGCTACATGTCCAAAATATGTCAGATGAAGTCTCAGAATCCTTGCCTCCAAGGAGCAGCCTGGTCTCATCCTCTCTAGGGTGATGCTTTTAGTTCTCCTAGCAGTCCATAGTATATTCAGTACTCTTCTCCAGCACCACGGCTCAAAGACATCAATTCTCCTTCTATCATCACTACAAAATAATGCATTATAACTGATTTTACATAAATGTAATGATTAAAAACATTGTTCCTATGCAGTGGGGAAGACAAACTTTTTACGGCTGTTTTTGTACATAGGGTCGCTATGAGTCGCAGGTGACTTGATGGCACATAACAACAACAACAATAAAGTAATTTTATTAAGTAAATACGAGTTAAATGACAAAAAGATAGGGGAAATACAAAACTACCAAGGAATTAATTCTGATATTATTTTACAACTCAGTGTAAATTCAGGCACATTTTCAAAGAAATTGAACCTGAAAAGACAATGGAGATGTGGTTTATGAAATCAGCAATACAGACAGTATGGACAGGATCCCTGAGAAACAAACAAAAAAAAAAAACCCACAAAACAAACCAACAACGAAAAACCTCAAACTCACTGCCTTTAAGTCAGAACCAACTTGTAGTTGCCATCGCTTTAGGCTTCTAAGGCTGCACCATGAAAAGAATGTTTATGTTGTTTTAACCTAAAATATTCCATTTTAATTTCCCTTAAAACGGCTTTTCCTGGAATTCCAGCATATGAGCATAATGCTATGAGAGAGCATAACATGCTCAAAAGAACATTTTTGTTCCTGTGACAAGTTGTTGTTGTTGTTGTTGATTGTCGTTGAGTCGAGCACAACTCATAGCTACCATACGTACAAAGGCCTGAAGCCTTTCTAGAACTATCGTCATTTATCAATGTTCAATTCACAGAGTTTCCAGAGGCATGTTGCTTCATCTGAGGCCTTGGAAAATAGAAGAATAGATTTCTTGCCCATTTTCTGTGTGTGAAGGAAGGAACTCACCTCAGTAAAACACTAATACTATGTTGTTTGTTTGTTGTTTAATGCCGTCGAGTCGTAGACGACTCATAGCGACCCTATGAACGAATAGCCTGAGTACTGTTCGTGCATAGAGTTTCCAGAGGCAAGCCATTTCGGAAGTGGATGCCGCTCCTGCTTCCAGGCTTGATTTAGTCGGGAAGCTCCAGCCAACACTGTCCACCATGTTTGCCCATTACCACGATTGGCACATCACTGTCACAGGCTTCAGCATCACAGCAACCACGAGTTACCTCTGTACAGCAACACACAGACCTATGACTCAAGTGAATATTCAAAACACTAAAACACCCTCATTCCCATCAAATGGAAACCAACTCCTAACTGACCCACCAGTACATTTCTGAGACTGTTAATTGCAAACGAGGAGACTGTCCATTTTTGTCTTACAAAGCTGCTAGCGATCAGAGCTTTGAACCTTCGGAGAGACATTAGGGCTAACAGTACAACCTCCTATAGACTAATTTAAACACTTAGAAACACACACACAAAAAGAGGTCTGGAAGTAGTACAAAAAAAGATCTTTTAAATTGAAAGTAAACTCAACAGAGGAGTCTATTTCTTGGAAGAATTTACAATATAAAAGCTTTGCTACTCATTTTTTAATTTTTAAAAAAAAATAATTACTCATTAAAGATCCTCATTTCACATGCAAGAAGAGAAGTTGGTTGAAATGAGAAGCTCACCAACTTCCTCATACTGACATAACTTGTTTTTCTGGATTCTACCCTTGGGCTTTTCTTGGGGACCAGCTATCTGGCCCATTCCATATTTTGGAAGCAAAGGTATGTTTAGATCTCAGTGTTGACACAACAATGTGAGGTACAGGATAATGTTTGGACACACTGAAGTGGAGCCCTCACTCTCCAGATTTCACAGAAGCCATCTAGCTTGGAGCGGGTTACCATGACCAGCCAGTCTCAGGGGATCCAGCAGCTCCTTCAGGCAGAAAAAAGAGCCAAAGACAAGCTAGATGAAGCAAAAAAGAGTAAGTTCATCCTATTTGCCTATGAGGGGGTTACCACAAAATGTTCTTTAACTGAAAGAGGTGGTACAGTGGGGTGGGCCTGTATTTGGGAGTAAGGCACAACTCCATTCAAACTCAGCTTACACACTGTGAGATCTTGGTAAAATGTGTTGACATTTCCAGGTATTCCTCACACCTACAGTGGAGGTGAAGTGTCCTAATTCAGATTTTATGAAAGGGGATTGATGTTTTGGAGAACTACGCTTATACTCTGTCTTTGCAATTTCATTAGTACACCTCAGCTTCCCAGTCGTGGACAATGGTAAAGTGATAGAGGTCTTAGCAGTTCAATCTACTTACTAAAGAGCCACCTTAAACAAGCGACCTATTCCATGTAAGCATGTTTCTCCTTCTGTAAAATCAGCATAATCATTTTTACTATTTCATTTTCATTCCTATCTTGATAGCTTTCCATTGGATTATTTTAAAATATTTCTATTGTATTTGCATTTTCTAACTTTTTTAATTTAATCCACTCTGTGAGCATAATGATCTATGTATGTATTGTATGGTAAACCAAAAGGTGAGCATTTGAAATCCACTAGCTTCTCCAAGGAAGACAGATGGGTGTCTTCTCCCATAAAGATTCACAGTCTCAGAAATCCAATGCAGGGCCACTCTGTGTTGGACTAACCTGATGCCAGTGAGTTTGAGTTGAAGCATTTTACTTAATCATGTGTCTTTGTCTTATATGCTTACACATATGCTGCCTTCAATAAACTTCAATTACTTTCCCTTTCTCTTTGTTAGTCACAAGGACGTTATAAGGTAGTCACTGTGTTGTGGACGAGCACCTTTGAGTTGGAACACCCCAACAGGTTCTCAGAGGCAGTAAATCATAAAAGAGTACATTGCCCGGGTAGGTGTTGTTACGAGAAAGAACTCATCGCCTTAGAGTCAGAACTGACTCATGGTTGACCCTCCACTAGGTTACTTGAGGCTAGAAATCACTTGTGTGGAGATAGCCCATCTTTCTTCCACAGAGCCTCTGGTGAATTCAAATTATCTGAGAGACTCAGCCTTCAGGTTAATAGTACAATTCCCTGTCAACTTTACCACTACAGTTCCCTAGGTATTAGGTATTGTTAGCAGGTCTACAACCCAAAGTTGGGTTCCCTAGGACAAAGAACTGTTTTTCCACTATTGAAAACCATATTAAATTAGTATTCAATCTAAAAGAGTTTGTAGTGTCATTTAACTTCTTCCTGGTTGTAACAAGTTCTGCCCCTACCTTTAGGTCTCATGTCCTGTAAGAATAGGAGATATGTTTTTAAAATGTCACTTATGCAATTCTCTAAGTGACTGAAGTGATATGTACAGAAGAGGTTCTGATGAACACTTTATATGTAAGGAGAGTAGATCAGAACAAGAAACACCAATCTTTCAGAGTTTGGAACCCTAAAGTAATTTTCCTTTCTTAAAATAAGTTACTATACACACTGACAGCAACAACAATAAAAAAGGTGCGGAGTCTGAGTCAATATGATGGAGAGGAACAAGGAGGAGAAAGATAATGAAGATGAACAATACCTACTACTTTTTCTACAATAAACCATGCAAATGACTTCAGATGGTGCAAATGCAAAGTAAATTTATAGGAAATGCAGTCAACAGAGACCTGCTGGCTGAAACACCTTTACTTTTTATTCAAATATTTTTGACCACATTTAAAACATCTAGAACAGAAAGCTTGTTTAAAGATGTGATCATTATGTTACCTGTGCTTCTCTATTGTGGAAGCAACAAGGTGATAAAATTAGGCACATTATCTATCAATATTAGTGTATGGTTAAAATCATTTTTGCCAGCCATCTCCTCTTTCTCAGGTTCATTAAAGAAGAAATAGATTGCTCATCATGCAAGGTCCTGGGATATGTGCCCCTAGAGTAACCTGCCCTCAAGACACACAATAAATACTCATACCGAACTCCTTTTCTTTTCTCTAGTAAACAGTTTATACTTAGGGAATCTTATCTTAGAACTCAGCATTGAAAACTTCATGTCCTATTATTGCTGGAGCAGTCCATAAGAAGTTATGCTGCTGACCCAATTAGCTGTGTGTTTCTACCAGTTCAAATCCACCAGCAACTTTGAAGGACAACAATGGACAATCTCCTCCTGTGTGATTTACAGCCCCTGAAAACTCACTAGAGAGTCCCTATGAGTAGATTCCAACTCGATGGAAATGAGAGAGAAATCTTTGACACACACAAACTCCATTTCCTTCTGATCTAGTAACTTAAAAATATTGTGATAATATTTATTAGCTTATCATGTCTTTGTTTATGAATATTCAAACAGAATATTCATATACATATACATATACATATACATACATACATACATACATACACATATACACATACATCTACAGATATATACATGACCTCTCTAAAGTACTCAAGAGCAACGGTGTCTCTCTGGAGACTAAGGTGCGTCTGATACAGGCCATGGTCTTTGCAATTACTCGTTATGCAT